CCACCACTGCAGCAGCAAGGGGGAAGTGCCTTGGACACCCCAGCCCAGGTCCATGCTGATGGGACAGGGAGGGGGGAATTAAACCCCTCCCTAGCCAGTTCACTTGGAGCTACTGTTAGGGCTGTCCATGTCCCACCCCCCCCCCAACACTGGAACAGCCAGCAGAGCCATGCAGGTCCACACCAGTGAAACCAGGGAGGAAGGAGGGTGGGGGGATAAACCTCTTCCCTTCCCCCTTCCCAGGACCAGCATCTGGCCAGGCTCCCTTCCTTGCCTGTCCCTGCTCTGGCTGGGGAGCGGAGGCACGGGGCCAGCCCTGCTGGGCTGGAGCAGAGAGACCAGCCCAAAGAGAATGTCGGGATGCTGGGGGATCCTGGTTTAACTTAAACCAGGAAGGGGTCTTGCACAGGCATTGCATAAACCGGTTTGAGCTCAGTAAGTTAAATCTGATACTGCATTTAACCAGGCTTATCTCAAACCAGTTTCAGCCATTTTGAAACAGGTTTTTGTCCGCTGAACATCTGTTCTGTTACAGGTTTAAACCAGTTTCTGATCACTTAAACTGGTTTATGTGTAATGGCTGTCCCTAGCCTATCTGCAGGTGTGGGCTATTATCCTGTAAGGTGCTCTGCCTAAGTAAAATCTTAAGTTTGCATGATGCTCTTTAATGGACTAAGACCTTGATTAGGTAGTAACTTGCCACAAGTCATTGTTTCTGTTGTATGGTAGGATGATACACAAATAGATATATTAAAGCTCTGCATGTTGACGTAACTTTCTCAAGCATCAGATCCACTATAGATAGACTATATGAAAATATATAATAAACTTTCAAGAAAAAAGGGCTGAAAAGGATTTTCCCAGATCTAAGTTTTCACTTTCTACCTATCAAGTGCCTTTTATTTTAAATTTAAAGGACATTCTATTGTCATTCAGGGTCACCTGTTAAGAAGTCAGATCAATTTTATGGTGATTTAGCATCTGTATGCTCAACAGATATGTATGTGGGTGTTATTAGCTGTAGATTGCAATCACTATGGTTGAACTTTATCCCTAAATCTAAAATACAGAGAAACTAAGGTTAATGATTGGACCTCATAAAGAACAAATTTAGTGTCCTTTAATAAGATAACATGTTTTGTCATTATATAGATTGTGGGCCATTATGATAAACCTGCTGTTACATGTTTTTTGTTTTCTTTATTCACTGTATCATCCTGTTTTCAATTAAAAAAAGAATTAAAAAGGAATACCATATAAAACAGCTGCAGACATTACAGGGTATATTTCAGAAGGCAATTGCGGGTCATGGGTATTTGCTAGCCTAGATTATCTGGAGCATCTAGATACAGTGCCAATAAAAACGATAATATACACACAATACAATACTAGAGTTCTGCGGATACACAAGAGCCAAAGGTCATTTGAAATACTAATGGGAAAACAAACTCAAGCCAAAAACATTGCTCATTATGAAAACAATGTTTCCTCTGAATGAACTCAGTATCATTGTGAAGTAGAGGATTTTTCCCCTTGATTGGGATCTTCCTAACTCAGTGGTGTAAGCCAACCTGAAAATGGGTACAACTATCATGTGATAAAATTTAAAGAAAAAAACATGTGTGTCAATCATCTTAATTTTCAGATCTGAATATTTCTACCTCTGCTGTACAGAGAACAATCTCTATGTAGTATGAAAATGAGAATGCAAATATGTAGTACTCTTCCTGAGTGAAATTTGTCCCTGGAGTACCAAACCAGACCAAGGGTTTACGTGGGACTTGAATGATGTTTAGGTTTTATGCTGGTTTTCTCCACAGAGAGGAATTTTAACAGTGTCATGATTATTTCTTTAAAGGAATACAAATAAAGAAGGAAAATAAATAGTTTGAGTACTATTAAAGGCCAGATTTCAACTTGGGTAAAAAAGCATGCCTCAGCTGAATGCAGTGAAACAATGTAAATGTGAATGTGAACAGATGCTCTTTTAAAGCCTTGTAAACTAATTCTGATTATACATACAGCAAGTGGAGTCTCAATTCCTTCTAGATTATTATGAGCAAAAGTTTATGCCATATGTCACACATAAGAAATTTTCCTTGAGGTGAGGTTTACAGTAAAGTCTCTGATTAATATGCACAACTTCAGTATCATGGCAATCTAGTCATCATTTATATGCAAAGTTTATTCCCAGTACAGACTTATATTTTTACCATGGCATTTCTGTAACATGTAAGATATGAAAAAGTAATTATATTTCAGGATAATTTTGGCAGGTTCATTTGATTCAAGTTCAGGTGAAATGAGTTCATACATATTCATACTTGCCTGAAAAAGTCCATTTTTATTGAAAAAAGTAAACTGAGCCCTGGAAACAGCTTCAAGCTCATCTTGACTTAAATTCCTCAGTAAACTTGATGGTAGAAAAATGGAAGCCAGGGCATTTGACTGATGCTTGTCAAAATCTATCTGTTATATAAAAACAAGACAGACCAGTTTAGACTAAAAAAAATCCTTGAAAGTCCATTATAATCGGTGCATCCATCTAATATAATGTGAGTATGGGTCTAGAATAGCCTTTGGCATACATAGGGCATAGAGGCAGATGAGGATTGCTATTATCCAAAATAGTGGTCTGGTAAATTTTCATATCTTCCTTGTATGAACACAGTCTTGTGTCATACAAAAGTGGTAAGCAAAACTGATCCTGAGTGGTCTTGAGAAAAATGGCTTTCAGAATAATTTACAACATCCTTTAAACTATTCTAATATACATCCAACAAGAGAAGGCACAGAGCACTTTTACATGCTCTTTTCATGAGTGGTGCTGCTTGTTCCTTGGCCATAATTGTAAAGCAGGGCCATTGCTTGACTGGTTTAGTTTATGCTTAATTCATGTTTTAGGTGCCTTTGCACTAGAAAATGTTGCAGTTATTCTTGCAGAGGGCAGGAGAGGCAGAAATATTAGTAGCAATGTGAGCACTGGTGTGGGCACAGATCAGGCATTTTTGCCACTAAATCATGAATTATTCTTGCTCCTTTCTACATTAGTACTTGCAGTGTTGCAAGTGCCTGTATACTGTTGCTTTGTAGGAGCAAGAAGGTATGGGCTTTCTAGTGTATAAATGGATTTAGAAGATTTTCTTCACAACTGCAGGGATTAGAGAGTATAATTCAACTGAGAGCAGTTGATTCTGTGACAAATTCCATGGATTCACAGAACAGACAGGGCTTTGGTTATATTTAAAGTGCCATAGTAGAGGCACAGAATGATCATATTTAGTCATTTCATATTCAGAAGCATGATCAAAATAAAATAGCTCTAATTTGTTTTCATCTTTTTTTCTTACAGGACAAAATTCAGATTGGTGCTCAGGCAACTCCAATTCAGGTTTTGGTTTTCTAAAAATTGGACAGCTGGCCCAAAAGTGTGTTTCAAATAAATTAGGTCAAGAAGCTTTGCTCCTATACTATCAGTGAAAGGACAGACAGTTCCACAGGGTGACTGAGGAAGTCTAAACACTAGGGGCCAACATCTATTGCTTTAGGTGCCTATGTGGCACATATGCTGCCATATAACTAGAGTTTAGGAGAACTATGCACAATTTAGGGTTCTATTTTTCCCTGTGGCAAAATAGACTCACCCTGCGCCAGCAGAAGGGTGGAGGTGAAGGTAGCAGTGGAGGAGCACCTTCCCACCTTTTAGCTCAATAGTGGGTACAGGATCTACATGGGAAGCAAGCACAGGTTCTAGGCTCCACTCGCTGTACTGTACTTCCTTTCCCCTCATGGAGATGGACCTTGATAATACCTTTCTTGCCTATTGCAGGGGTTTATATCACTTCTGCTGTACATGTAGCTTCATACTCCTTCTGGTTGATGTGCCTTCTATTCCCTAGGCAAGTGCCCTAACCACCAGGCTATCAGCTGAAAGATAGGTGATGCTCCTCTTCTAACATACAATGGTCAAGGGGTTTTCACTCAACTCGAATTCTGGGATTTACCCACTTTTTTATGCATAAAGGTGATTCTATTTTGCCAGCCAGCTAACCAGAGTGCAGGCTTACTAAGTGTGCTTAGTAGACTTGTGCAGCCTATGTGTAACTGTGAAAAACTAGTTATAAGCTATTTAAATACATAACACAAAATAGGATTTAGGTCTAAGTGGGGAGCTCTTATGACCTAGCCAACAGGAAGCCATAAGCCCAGAGGAGTGTGGAAACTCTGCCCCTCTCTGGATCTTAGCTGCTTGACTCAGGGCACACTCCAAATCACCAAATCATTAGATGCAGGGGTAGCAGTGGACATAGTCTTTCTGGACTTTCGGAAGGCCTTCGACACTGTCTCTCACCCTGTTCTCATTAAGAAACTGGGGGACTGTGGTGTCAACACCCACACAGTCAACTGGGTCACCAACTGGTTGGAGGGCCGCACCCAGAGACTGGTGGTGGATGGGTCATTTTCAGCCTGGAGGGATGTGGGCAGTGGGGTTCCGCAGGGCGCGGTC